AACCCAAAACGATTACCATTTAGAATCAGTTTTAAGGATATAAAAGAAATGAAATGTGGGTAAATAAGTATTTAAAGGAGAAAATAACCAACAAGGTAACACATTATAACTGGTTCTATCTTACAAGTAGCTAGTAATTGTAAATTGCAGAAAAATCGTTGTTTCCTGTGAATCAATGACTGCTAAAGTACACATTTAAAACAAATATAACCTTATGTCCTTAACCCGTTTTTCAAAGCCGATTAGTCGATTAGTTCAAAGTCATGATCGTGCTAAACGCAAGTAGAAATAATTGTCTCCTGAATGGAACATTAGTGATTGTAGTAGACAAAATGTCAGCGACTTGAAAACTTGTTGACAAACCGAGCGTGGAAAAACTTTCTTCGAAGGTATACATATTTACGAGGCATTAGCAAGATTTGTACGCTGTAAAAGCAATTTATTGTTATTTAAGGCTATAATCGCATTTCCACTTTGAATGAAATTAGATGTTAAAGGAAAGTGTCGGTAGTTAAATTAAATTTACACTTGTTTCGATCAATGTTGTCATAATTGGCGGTAAAGGTAAAATATCATGGCGTGTTTTCTTAATTATGTTCACTTGGAAGAGTTCCAAGTGGCACAGGATTATAAAATATTAATAAATGAAGAAGGAAATATGACCAAGATGAATGTAAGCTATAGGCAAAAATTAAAGACAAGTAAAATTACGTGTTTTTGAGGGTTTTAACAGGATCTTACGGCTAAAGATTTACCAGCAGAAGTTAGTAAATTTCCTTGAAACCAAAGAAATTGAAGAAACCTGTGCTGTGTTGAGAAATACAAAAGTATTCAAATTCTTAACACACAGAAAGTGCACTTTGAAAAACTTAAGAAGTAATTTTTCAAATCTACACGGATAGGGGATCTAAAATTGTGGAGTTAAAAATGGAAAATTTAGTAAATTGATTATTTTTTTCCTTTGAAACTGCTTTTTCATCTTAACTGGAAATTGGAATGATTTGGTTTGGAAATTGGAATGATTTGGTTCATTAGACATTTTTTCGCATTTAATATTTTCCGCTTAAAAAATGTAGGCAAAATCTTCATTATTTTACATATTTTATACGAATTATTTCTGAAATTTTTATTGAACAAAAACCTTAACAAACATGAGTACAAAAAATATGATTGAATAGCAGTCAACTAGAGCTTCTCTAGACAGCAATTAGAGAGATTTTTTTTCATATGTCGAAACTTAGGTACATTTTACGTTTATTTTAAGTCATTTATTAATACTGCAAAAACTGTTTGTAAATAAACATTTAGTAAAACTTTTCAAATGATGTGAATAAATCCCAACTATCCATAATAATTTAATCCGGCTCCACATCAAGATCATTGATTCACATAATGGAATTTTTGATATTTCGCAAAACTCCATTATAAAATCGAGCATTCTTTCTGAATGAATTGTGTGCAATTCACAAGATAAAACGTTGCATGGGGCCCACTCACCTTCTTGTGCCGCTGAATAGCATCGCAAATAACTCGGAAAAATGTTAGCCAGTGGATCGCTTGTACAAAGAGTTGATTCAGAACCGAAAAAATGATTGAAATCTCAAGCGATTGGAGTTTTGCCTGATTTCTACGCTCTCTAAAATCCGAACTGTTATAATTAATTTGTTCGGAATATTTTAATTATTCGGTTACCGCAATACAGTTTTATAATCGTTAAGTCAAGACATATGTGGAATGGTTCTCAGTTCCGCTCGGGTCTCTCATAAAAGTTGATGTGGAGGAATCTTTAGCATTTTACTAGGTTTGATTACGTTAATTAATATCATTGATGGTCCTGATTAATTAATCAGAAATGCTTATAAGTTATACAGTCTATCCGCAATTAATAGAAAAAAAACCAAAATTGTCAACACTTCCTGAAGTTCATTTTTGCTAAGACAATATCATCAATTTCAATCTATAAAAGCTTAATATTTTTCAATCTCTTGGATTCTATCCAATGAATGTATCAAAACGAATTAGAAAATGGCCAGAAAAACCAGAAGAGAACTTTTATAATTGATGATCTGGAAAATGTTTGTAATACTTTGAACTACCTATTTAAATAGATCTACTTAGAACTTGGTCGTGTTTACTAGCAAAATGTAAACATAGGTTTTCACTGTCCCAGTGTTCGATAGGGGGCGAACCGCCTACACGGACACGCATTTTTAGACAACGTAAACTAAAATGTTTCATAAGGCCAATTTTCCTCAAATACTAGTTTCAAGCCGTTGTTACTTTAGCGCAAAATGTTCAAAAAGTTTTGGATCAATGAGCTGAAAAGTTCAAATAATAAGGATGTATATTTTAGATCGCATGCACAAGTGTCACAGTGCCAATGTTCAAAATTCAGAAAGACAACAGACGAAACTTTTCAAAAGATGCTTTTTTTCAAGATAAGGATTTGAAAATTTAGAGTTATAAAGTTCTGTTATAACTCTGTTAATACTGTTTTTCTCTGAAATTGTTTTCATTTTGATTCTAAAATCAAAAGCAGCCCAAAAATAGCAAGAACTTGCCATTTTCACCACTGAAAGGTGATTGGTATTGGCAAGTAAATCAAAAAGTTCAGCAATTTATATGAATAATAACCTTAGGTGTTTATTGAGTATGTGGTTTTGAATTTTTTATTTTTCTAGTTAAAAGTTTCAATTTTGTCTCTACTTAGTGTTACTGTGTTAAAGATTTTCAAATTTTGTTATTATCTTGATTTTATTCAATAGCTGGGTTCCCAAATTTGTGTTTCTTTAAATATTCACTACAAATTGTTATCGCATGTTTTCCTGCTGTTGCAAAATTCTCATAAGATCCTTCACTCGTGCAAACTCAAAAACTGATGCCTGTTTTCTTTCGACACATTTTACTTTGAGTGAGACTGGGAATTTTTTTTACTTCTCTGTGGCTTTAATTGCTTTACTTCAAATTTTAGTACACGATTTGTGTATTAAAATATAATTTTATTTATTATTTGCAAGCCTTGCCTCTGTGGCACACATAGAACACAGTGTCTTGTTATTTGTTAGTCTTATTGTCATATAATTAGTGAATATTCTCCGTAGTTTCTTTATAGTTTAAGTACTTATTGCTTTCACAAGATTGGCTTAAATTTCCCTACGCAGCATTTTTATACATTTCTTGCAAAATGAAAAGTGGCAAATTTAAGCGACAACTTTTCCAGCCAAGCTTTTCTGGGAGATATTTTACGCTTGTTCTTCAGCTATTTCTGGGATTTTCGCCTTATATTCAGTTAGTAGAAGTAGTGTATTTGTTCAAAACTTAAATCTCCAATGCCAGATTTGCGAAAAATGTTTTATTTCGCCCTAGTCTTTCTAAGACGCTTTGAAGCCCCCAAAATTAATCATGAAACCATTTTCCTCTGCCGGTTTGCTCAATTATTATTTGCAAAACTTTCGAGCTATTTTTCGCTTTGGTGCAATCAGTCCCAGACCCAGTTTACTCTATATGCGTTATTAGCAAAGGAGGAGTCCCACATGTGATAATAATAGCGTGGAAACACCACGAACCGATTTTTAGCTCTCGACGACACTGCGTTGGTCTCAGCTGGCACAACTCGCTTCCGAAGTTACAAAAAGGCGGAAAACGGGAACAGTTTCGAAAAAATTAATGGAACAGCCGTAAAAAGTGAATGAGTGTGTTCTACAGTGTAGCATCAAGTGCGATCAAAGTGATTTGTAAGTGTTTTTGGCTATAGTGATGTGCGTGGAATATTCCCTGAAGATCTGAGAAAATTTCTGAAGCAGATATTGAACGGGAATAAATGGAAATATATCAGCAAACGAAAAAATTTGATATATTTTCTACCGTCCAGAACAGCGTTTGCTGCAAATATGCGAATTCCAAAAATTATTGACTTCTTACAATTTATTCACTTCATTTTAAACTAATTTTCCTACAGAATGTTGTAGTATTGGTGTCACTTTATCAGTGAAATTATCAGGAGGTTAATCAAAGGAATGCAGTTTTGAAGGGCGACTGTTACCTAATAATGCTGCTATGATTTAGCTTTTCCTGAAAGACCGATAGGAAAATATGAAACGGCAGGTACTGAGGAACATGAAATCGCAAGGAAATATTTACCTGAATCTTAAAAAAATGCACTTTCCAAGTCTCAACTAAACAGTTCCCAAACGAAAAAATACTTGTATTATAATTTAGTGAATTATCAAAAAACTCGAATTTATAAAATTCCGAAATCCTGCTGTTTTCGCGTTGTGTATTTTCGAATGTTTTTATTTATATCTTCCGATCCAAAAATATCTATTACTGCACATATATGTGTTACTGGAATACATCCATCTATTTAGACCAACTGGAAAACTCCCATCGATTTACTGAAAATTTACGACTTTTGTGCAGATTACCTTGAAGTAACAAGGATCTGCAGGCAACATTTTTAATTCAGATATAATAAAATCAAGGCCACATTTTGGCTGTACACAAGCACAGTGTAATGTTTGCTGCCAGCAAACAAATCTGGCTTTATAATCTTTTGAGCAAATACCCAAATGTGGGAAGGCAGAAAGCAATAGAATGTACTGTGTAAGATTGGGAAAGATAACCGCTCTAGATTGCAACATGTGATTGAACTTTTTAAGCTGTAGGCTAAGTCCAATACAGTCGTCGAAAAATATTGAAAATCCCTAACAAAATAAGAAACTTTATTCAATTTACTTCAGCAACAGTTGCGTTTATACATTACAGATCCCTAGTAAAAAGTGTGAGTGCTTAAATATATTTGTTGCGTCCAGATACTAACAATCTGCATGTGCAAGGTTCCAATACATAACAGAAAAAGTCCTTCATAATTCCATTAAAAAGGACATAAACTTTACGATATAATATATCTAAAAGCCATTAAACGTTTTTTTCCATATTTGAAAAACCAATTGTCTGTAGTCCTTACTAAACTTTTTAATATTAAGATAAATGTCTCCGTTTTAATGTTTTAATTCTAATAGTTCTATATGATCAAGTTATATCATGTTATTAATTTGATTAGACCATTTTGTCCCTTTTTTCTCATTTTGGATTGTGGATTTTAAAAAGCTCAGTGAAAGCAATCAGAAATTGATAATCACTTTCAATGCAGAGCATCCTGCAAACGTAGCTCCAAAAATAAGTAAACAATCTTCAAAATGTCGTTAAAAGCATCTGAAAGTAAATTATATCAATTGCCCAAAATAACTCTTGCGTGTAAAAGTTAAATATGTTCTAGTTCCTGAACATTTGAACACTTTTGAACTATTCACTATTTTCAGTGAAAAATTGCGGCTTACTCATTTGTTTCTCATTCGTTTACTTTTCATATGTATTCTACAGTTAATAGAACACCTTGTTATGGTTTATCGAAACATTTTTATTCAAGTTTAATTAAAACCGACTTGGATAGCAAAATCAAGATTGAACATGTTTAACCCAGAGCTGCTGTTTTACAACTCTGGATTGTGTGGATGCTCCATGCCACTATAAGATGAACAAAAAAGGAAAAAATAATAGAAAAGGCTTCAATAAATGTTAAACTTGTAACAAATGTTCAAGTGCCTCATCTGGTACGCAACGATGAATAATTATCATCAATTCGACAAAATACGCGCAATAAGAGTGAATAAGTGAATAAACGAGATCCGGTGTGACGAACCAAAGATATGCTACTATTAATCATGAAAAATCACTGTAAATGTGCAAGTTTTACCAGAAAATATTCGCTGTGGTTTGTTCAATTTATCAAAAGTGTAGTTATTTTATGTATAAAAACGTATTTTTTGACCGGTTCGGACGTGAGTTGAAAATAAAGCGCTTCTGAGATTAGCAATTAGAAAAATAAAATACACTTCATACAAATTTCAAGTAGAACAAATAAAACACCATAATCTACATTAAGAATCTCATAGATAAATGCATTTTAAAATGAAGTTTTATCGCAAAAGCCACTTGCAACTATAAAAATACTCATAGATTGAGAAGAGAGTTGAATTTCCTGAAACAATTATTAACTAGCGATCATTGACTCTGTCGAGTACCTACACACTTTTTATAAGCAAGATTATCTAAGGATTAATTCTATTGATTTGGTTTTAATAGCAACTATGCCGACGCTTAGCTTGTTAGGTCGAGCCTATTTACCTAGATAATAATGATATTTGCTCATACAAACATGTGGATTAATTATACAGGGTGACGCAATTTAAACACCAACAAAACACGCCTATGTTTTATATCATCGTAGCTAGTCTTTCATTCTTAAAACAAGCCTTCTGATACAAATTTTGGTCTGCATTTATATTTTGATTATCGATCCATTTTATCCATCCAGTTTATTAGGGTGTGCAAAGTCCGACCCTTCTAAACACGGCCCCAGTGTGTATTTTTTCTTTGATAAATTTGCTAATGGTTTGATCTTTTAGGGTCGTCCCTTTATTAGCTATTCTGTTCTGCGTCCGTCGTTTTGTAATAGAAGACAAATGTTTTCTCTTCATCGGCAATAAAATCATTTTTCCATATTTCCTGTTGTTCAATATCAAATTTTCCAACCTGGTTTCAATCTAATTATGTTTACTAATGTTGATTTTTTAGCTTCCTCTGGCCAATGACGAAGTTGCAAATTTGCACAAAAATTTCAAAATCCAAAGTGACTTCATTCGAACTTTTAGCTTCCACAAAGGTTTTTCACCAGCTACTTTACGGTAGTTTCAAAGCCGCCGTAACCTTTTGACTTGGTACGCAATCGATTCGGGTACCGGTTACTGTTCTTTTCAATCACCTGGCGTCTTCCATCTGGTACAATAAACAGCATGATGGGGTCGGATTCTGTAAAAATTGTTGATAGTTCGCATATGACGCTGCAGCTGATTTCGAATCAGATGGTGGTTGCATGTTTGCCAAGGGTGGGAACATAAAACCACCCCCAATCAGCTTTAGCCCGTTTTATCGATCGATAACACTTTCGTACAAGAGAAAAGAAGCAAAGCTGATAATTTCGGTGAATGTCTTTGCAAAATAAAATTTTATGGACCAAAATTTTAAAGGATTTCTGTGATTTATAGACCACAATGAACGCTCATAATAAATTTCCACCTGTAGATTGTTCACTTGTTATTGCAAAATGAAGACACGATAATGCCTGGGTGTGGTTTTTTGTAACCAAATAATATTTCTCAATATCCATTGCTTATGTGCGGCCCGCTACAAGCATTACAAGCCAAACATTAATATTTATATAACACACTAAACTCTTGATTTAGTTAGCCTTAATACGGTTAATAATTGAAGTCATGGTGCAGAGATGCTAAAATCGTTTAAAAGTTACAAACCTAGATTATTGCAATCATGGCACGCCCCAAAATATTAAAAAGTCATTGCACTTTTATCGAATATTTTTTATGTAATAATTAAGGTGAGCTGATAGTTACAGCGCACCCAAAGAAATATTTTTACTTAACATACATTTTTTTAACGTTTGTTTACACGGAAACTGCTCAATAAATCAATATTAGCTTGATTTTCAACAAGGGAAATGTTAATACTTTGACCAATTTTAAAACTGATTGATTAATTAATAATTGTGTCGCTCCTCAATTCGTTTGCGCAATTGTTCTAATTCCTTTGATCTCACTTTACCTATTTACATCCAACTGACTGAAGAAATCACACGGTTCCATTGAGGAGTTTAATTTTAATAATTATTTTTGCGTCATTCCTCGCTTTGTTATTAAAACTTTATTATTGAACACACTGTATATAGAGAATGAGCAATTTTTAGACCTCTTTTCTTCATTAAGCTTGAAAACATCTAAAATACCTCTGAGTGTGTGTTTTTATACCAATTTTTTACAAACCAATTATGTTTAAAATCCAAATAACACACAGTTTTTATATGATTTGTTCTGTTCAACTTTGCTTTTAGCTATTAATTATAGAACAAATTGCGAAAGGAACCAATGACTTTGCAAAGGTTACATAAAAAAGTCATCAATGTATCAATATAATCGATCAATAGTGTGTGCCAATTTCAAGAGCGTTTTGCAATATTTCCCTACAGGATTACTAGCAAAATTTAATTATTCCATGCCGAAAACTTATATGTGCTTTATCATTATTGCCAGTTTTTATGTAACAACTGCTATTCTTGCACACTGATTGTTCAACAATATCATAGATATTGTAACAATGACCAGCCGAAGCAGGATTAGATACAATTGTTCGTAGCTCATGAGATTTTTCAAAAAAAATGTTAATTCATGCTGGAAAAATTCAATTGTTCCAAGCAGTTTCGAATATTCCAGCCATAGGTTGCGCTAAAAGTAGCTTTAATTGCCCATCAGTGCCCTAATATTTTCAAGCGAAAATTCCATTAAAAACCGGTGTTTTTTCTGCATCCAAGCATGATCTAATCTATTGATAACTGCAAAACCACAATGGATGGCCTTCAATTTTCAATACATAGACACTGGTAATGTGGACAACGATGTGTCCAATACAATGGAATTATATTTTGCAAAAGTACCAGGGATTTAACGAAAGTTTTTTAATACTGCTAATGAGTCTAAAAAGTCCACTGGTGAATAAAAATTAACAACTAATGTCTAGAGTGTCGATCGGTCCTGGGATGCAATTCGTTTTAGCAATCTGTTTTAGATTCACCTCCCATACGATGTGGAAAACAGTTAAGATTTTAGAGAAAAATGGTCCCAAATCTGGCATTTTAAAAGGGCCCACCGTGTCGTTTATTTATTTACCCATTTAACGAGGACCAGAAGGTGAAATTGAAAGAACACAGTAAAATATGAATGATACCGTTCGTCTTTCAGAATAAAATACAGTTGCATTCGGGACAACTATTTCAGAATATGAAATCAAATCGAAATTTTCATTGCGATTTATAAATCAAATTAATTTTCGTCATTATCTACGTTCACTGCTTAACTAATCAATTCACCCATGTATTTGCCTGTCTAGTATAATGGAACGACCATCCATGGCAATTACATTAATGGTTCCACGACCAGGCATTAAAATGCCTTCGAACTTTTGCATGTTTTACGTTTCAATACCTGCGTCTGTTTAGTGTGATATTTTGGTACAGCATCAAGTGACACCGATATTACAATGTTCTTTTACCAAAAAAGTTAGACTTTCACGGCCATTGCGAAACTGGTGAGTTTCTCGGGATTTTATGTAGGCCTGGAAAAGATTCTGGCCTACCAAGCCTGAAAATCTCATCAGTTTCACTGTTCGTTTAGCTTGATTACACGTTTTCTCTTAGTAAAGGTGCGTCGAATTATGTGATAGAACATGAAGAAATTCTGCAATAAAATAACGAAAAAAGAGTGGCGCATCACAGTTCCTAATCTCAGCTCGCCCGTGTTCAGACGATCACCATCAACGCTCGATGACTCCGACAAAACATCGAAACGATCATCGGGATTTTACGATTTCCAAGAAGCTCAATTAGAATTTGATAAAGGTAGAAGTTTACCGAATAGTATTTATGTGGATAGCGGTTCGAGCAGTTCATCTAGTACTGGCGTGGATGAGCAGTTTCAAGATGCCCAAGACAGAACCACGTGTTTGGATATTAAGCGAAGCGCCAGTGAGAACGAAACGGATCAGGAAATATACGTAGATGTCGAAGAGCCGAAGAACATCGACAAGAATAACAGCCGATTCGAGTATGACGTGCCGAAAATTAGCTTCAAGTTCTGCGAAAAAAAGAGCGCATATCCGGAGGAGAGCATTTATGAAAATCAAGGACCTTGCCAGGAGGCGCCAGCCCCAGATTCCGTCAGGTGTACCAAGAAAACGGAGGTGAACATTACTTTGAAAGAGCCCAGCTTATCTAGTTTGGAAAATGACCCGGAGTGCACTCTCCGAGATGAAGACATCGTGGAAGCCCTCAGGAACATTGAAGAAGAAGGTGAATTGCTCGAAAAGCATCCGTCCCAAGAATTCGGAAGCCAATCGGAGATTCTGGGGTCGAGAAGTCGTGAAAGCATGACTATCGTCAAATCTGGAAGTGACCCAAATTTGCGAACACATGACCTAGACGATGAAGACGACGACGACAATGGCTTCTACAAAGTACCCAGAAGTCTGAAAGTTCAGCATCGCTTATCTCAATCCATGAATGACTTCGATCCGGAAAGTATGAATTCGGAAATTTCCAAATCTAATCATTCTAGCATTGAGCACATATCGTGCAGTCAAGTGGACATTGCAAGGCAAAAGCTGGCCGAATCCCATCTAAATTCCAGCTCTAACAATTCAGAAAGTTTCGATTATTGCCGAACGCGCAGTCAGCTGCCAGCCAAAGAGCGCAGAGCAACATTGCTCAGAAAGCCGAAAAAGGCCATTGACTCATGGAACAATTTCAAAACAAAGATGAGCCATATGATTTCTGAGCAGGCCTCTCAGCAGAGAGTGGGAGCTTTTAGCGAACGGGACAAGCTCGCGTTGAACTTGGAAGAAATGTATAAAAGCTCGAAGAATAAGTGCAAAAAAGTGTTTCAAAGCACCACCAAAATCTTTTCGCCCAAAGCGACCCATAGAAGGCGGAGTGTGTCTTCGTCGGATGTGGACAGTCCAAAGAACAGCAGTTGTGCTAATTCGCCAGTGGTGGAGAAGCAAACGCCGACTTTTCCCAGGCCGAAACTTAGAGCGAGTGACATCGAGTATCAACTGAACACTAGTGACGAATTAAACGGCCGAGTATCGAACGATGTTAGTGATACCGACAATTATTCACCGATGAGCAAAGCTAGTGAACTCAGTGAGGATAAAAAGGAAGAGTTCGATTTTTCAACCATCAAAAGTGCATTTAAGAAGAAATTGGTGTTTGTTCCAGAGGTAATTATTCGAATTTTTAGCTAACTGTTTTGCAAATTATGTGTTTATTTCTCATTTTTGATAATGGTATTTCATTTGAACAATTTTGATGAACATTTTATCGATTTGCTGGTAATGTGTAAACCTTGGAAATGAATATTGTACAGAGAGCGGCAAATATGCGCATCATTTACAGTGATTCATCAACATGTCCTAATAACAGAATAGTTATACGTTAATATAAGTATGCCCCTTTTTTCGTTCGAAATTATTAACTTTATTTTTAAGGTGTTTCTTGTTTTGGCAACTGGTAAATTATACAAGGTATCTGTATTATGTTGTTTTAGTCTTAGATTCAATTTTTTTTGCAATATATTAGACCGTTTTCTATCTAGGCTTCCCTTTTTCATTCTATTCAATGTTTAACTGCTTGGAGATTTTGCCTTATTCTCCTTATTGATCTTAGTGGCATGTTCTGTTGTTTAGTTTTATTGGATGCGTTGGCTCTCAATGTGTGTACATTCTGTCCATAGTCAGAGTGTTCAGTCCAAAGTGCATTCTCCTTTTGATTACTTTCATTCTTACATTTTGGGTGTTTTTAGTAAGTTTCAGTTTTTTGTCTAGTATTATTGCTAGATATTTTGTTTCACGTTTTGGCGTTGTCCTTATTTCCAGCACTGTCTCATTATAAACAGTCTTAATATAAACAATCTTCCTGGGATTCAGTTTCAACTGATGATGGTGGAAAAACACCGAAAAGTTTTTAAGAAAATTGACTAAATAAATGACTGAAACCCAGGAAGATTGTTTATCTTAAAATTGGAAATACAGTCAGGAAAACTTACATGGTTATAGACAGTTTACAAAGAAAATACCATTAGATTAACAACACCAATATGTATGTTTTTAGTGAAATTTTAAAGTTTATGTTAAAATAACAGAAAATCTAATCTAGTAATCGCGTTACTTTGAAATCAGTTATCGAAAAGTATATGAAATGATAAATCACGTACATACCGCTGAAAAAATTACCCTATTGATTCTAGCGATCGTTTGACCCATCGAAATGGAATTTTATTTAAATATTTTAAAAACTGCAGAAATTCGAACTCAAAAATAGAACAATATTGTTAATCTTGACTCCCTGTATCTCAGAAATGCTCTCTTTGGGTTAGTTTGGGTTTTTTGGAGTTTGGTTTTTAAGAGTTTAAGAAATTGTACATAAAGTTGAGTTATGCGCCATTTTTATATAAGCTAAAGTTGTTTCAAAATAAGCAAAATAACGTATTGGTAATATTTTTGTGGATGCTTTGTATAACTTATGTTGTTTACATTTTTCCATTAAGCTGAAAGGTTTGAGAAAGATCTTAAATAAGCGCCTAATAAATAATAATCTTAATAAAATTACGCCTTGGCATGTATTTGGACTATTAATTTTGTCCATTTTGCAACACAAAGCGAAATACGAAATACACAGTCAGGAAAGTACGTACAATGATTATAATAAATAAAGGGAAAAAATTATGGCAACTGGTTTGTCTATTATATATTGTTGTCTATGTTTTATTTCATCATTCTATCATTTATAATAGACATTTAGAACACTTTTTCTGCTTAACGTATTCCAACAAAAGATTTGTTTAACTAAACTTTGTAAATGGTAAGAGTTAAAATCATCAATTTTTGTCTAAATTGGATACTTCTAGGAGAAAATTGTATGTAAGTGGATTATAGATTAATAAAAATAATCTTTCGCCTGATAGCGTTCAAAACTTATCGATTATCGAAGCTGTTTGGTGTTGAGTTTAGTTCGCGTTGTGGGAAACAAATAAAACATTCTTCATGCCCATGCCTAAACTTTTCATTTTTAAATGGAGGAACCGATTTAAATATAAAACATATCGGGATTCTAAGCAGGTAGATATGTACTTAACGTTTACTCTAGTCGCTCTTATCAGTAACAAGTGGATCTCGTGATTATGCGAATTTACATATGGAAATTTTAAAATGGTCTACAGCAGAACTTAAATTCTAAATATTGTTGTTCTTTTGCAAAGGAAATAGCAATTATAGTTCCTCTTTTCGTATATTACTATTGTCTTTGTTTATCCATTCAGTTGGTGTAGAATGCATTTTCTCAATTTTTAAAAATTCAGATTTTTTCATTTTTTTGTTAATTTCCTCGCTACTTGAAAAATTCTTCATTTATAATTTATTTTAATGGTTTTTCTCATCAGGCAGAGGTGATATTTCCTTCAAATCCTCAACTAGTTCCGACTCTCAAAGACTCAGATTCGCATAATAAATCGCTTCCGAGACAGCTGGACTGTTCAAATGCCTTGAACTTTTCCTTTTGCTGTGTAAGCTTCAATATCAGTTTGATGAAAATACCTTTTATTACCTGTACTAGTTGAGAAGGTCAATTAATGGTTCAAATAATTTACTTTGTCGAAATTGCTGTCGTCGCCTGGGTTTAATTGCTTTAAAATTCGAAGCGAACTTGTATTATTAATCGCCTTACGTTAATTTGTTCGACACGTAAACGCCTGTCACGGTTGATTTTTATGAAATTTTTGTAATTAATATGCTGAAAAAATCTAGTTTGATTCATTTTGAAATGTTCGTCAACTTTCTGACCTGAACCATCATGTTTTTTCATGTTGCTCAATCAATCTTCAAATGAATTGTTTCAAGGACGATAATTTTCAGACATTTCTTGCAGCCTCTAGACTTTGCTTGGCAAAAAACTTTCATAGGCAAATACTCAAATCACTTTTATATTTAATGCGTGAAACAAGCAACTATTTAATGCTTGTAGTGTCTTCATGATGCTCCAATTCGCACACATTTTCATTGTTGATGAATTACCTTCCTGATTGTGCTTGTTATGTTTATTTTGACATTTTCGGTCATTTAAGTGAAAATTTTAACTGTTCACTGAGCCATGATTATGTTAATATTACGTTTCGATTTTTTAGCCATCGTCAAACCATATTAGAATCGCTGAATTAGTATAGAATTGTTTACCTTCGCTATGTATAAAAGTAAGAACTGAAGCTTAAGAGTAGAACAAAATTTACGTAAAATTTGCTTTCATCATTAATTCCTAAGAGCCTTAGACAAGAGAAAATCTAACTTGATGTCTTGCCCGATTCTGCTCGGTTCACAACAATTGATAGCTGAACTTTTTTTGAAAGTAAGCAGTAGAAAAATCCGTGTAACTGATTTTACGCTGGATAAAACGGTCTTTTGAAAACGCAGAAACAGAACTATCAATTTTGTATTGCATTGTTTGCATTGATTTATCAATTGCTACTGTCCTGAACTGTTGCTTCAGCTAATAAATCTGCAATTTAAGAAAAAACCTGGTATTTGCTTAACTGGCCATAATTCAATACCCGTCGCTCTTGATTCATTTGAAATGAGCAATACTCCGTAAAAAAGCGTTTCTACCACGCTCCACTTCCTCAACTGTTTTTCTTTTACCATCATGGCAAGAGCGTCCAATTGCTCAGCTAATTAACGGACATAATTGAAAGCAAATCATTTGATAAAACGATTCTTTGGTCATCGGATCTTGTCGTTATTGATTAGAACAAACGGAAAGCTATTAAAGATACAGTTGTAACTTTCGAGATGTAGAGTTTGTGTTTTTTTTCTTCAAATGGTGAGTAAAAGTATGACAATCGTCTTCAAAGCTGCTGGTCATATTTACAGAAATACTTTAGGAACTCAGTGAAAAATGAAGAAAATTTCCGTTGATGTTCTTCAGAATAGTAAAGCAATATATTCAGATTCTTGAAGAAGTGATAAAGTTGAACAAAGTGTAATTTTCCAGGGGCAAAATGGCTTCGAGGACTTAAGGCGCTACGTGAAGCAAGGAAGCGACTTCTGCAAAGAACTAGCTACAATCTTACAAGAAAGGTATGAGCGTAAACTTCATCTTGTAGCAGCCACAACTGCAAGTTCAGTGTTCCTATGAAACTTACCTTGATTGATTTAGGGCTGACGCAGAAACCCAATACGCGAAGAATCTTTCGAAGCTCAGTGCCAAACTTTCTAGAGCGTGTAGAGATGGCGTAGGAGGTCTGAACGATGCCTGGAAAGCTGTAGCGATAGAATTAGAAACCAAGGCAGAATCACATAGATTGGCCGGTCACTCGCTGCTAGAAGAAACTGCGAAACCGTTGAGAAACTTAACGGAAAGTCAGCATAGGTATGTGCTGGAATTGGGGTGTTTTTTGGGGGGTTTTCGCCATGTGTGGATGCTTTAGATCGAGAAAGCAGTGTGAAACCGCTGTGGAAAAAGCAGCCAGATTTTTGGGTGATTGGAGAGCCGCTGAAGCTAAAGGTAAAAAACATAGCCATGCGTGTGCCAGGGATAATGAGAAGTTGCAAGATGCTGCTGTTATAGATACGTCGAAGTTCGGAAAGCAAACGTAAGTTTCAATGGTTTGAAATTTACTTAACAGTTTTTAAGGGCTTTTTTGCAAAACTCACTCAATTTTTCATATGAGGATTGCAATATGGTGAACTACTAAAGCTGATTATTATTGCAGGTTGTCGAAAAGTGCAAGTCTGATTCAGCTGGCGCATCGTCAAAATTCCGCAGATAAGGAAAACGCTAAAGTAAGTCAAGTAGTTATGTGTTTCAGCTGTGAACACAGAAATTCTGCAATGTTTGAGTGAATTATTTTTCTTTTATTTAAATGCGTAATTTGACTTTTCCAATCAATTCTTTCTTCTGCTTCTTTTAGTAAGTTTTTGTCTACATTTCATGACCCAAAATATGAACTTTGTCTTTTAATTATTCTTCGGCTAACAACTCTTTTGGCGTCAAGTTAATGGTTGCCATAAAACATTCTGGCACATAACTTTGGACTTTTCGCCTACTTCTCTAGCAAAAGTACCGGGAATCGAAAACAGTGCTCCTAATTAACAAATAATTCTTGTGCTTATATAATGCGATAAAAACTCGTCGTGGTAGATTAAGAAGGACCTCAGTTGGATCAGGTGTAAGAACGCAAAAAGTTGAATTTATCTCCGGATTAAAAGGTAAATCACATCAAGGCATATCATGGAAACGATCAACCGTGAAAGCGTGTAATCGAACAGCAACCTGCTTAAGTTTCAAACTCTTCATCAACAATGCTAGTCATTAAGTGAAGAAATTGCAGCGATTTTAAGTAATTGCAAGAATAATAGAATCGATTCGCTAAGCATTAAAAAGCCTTGATTAGCGAATAGTTCCAGCCTACCTACGTGAATACAGCATTAAAATATATGTGTGCCAATATAAACATAGCTATTTTTACGTTTTTCGAATAACGTCCAGATGTCTCCTTAAAAAATTGAGCCATTAAAGAGCAATCGAACAAACAACATTACTGATTTCAATAAACTAATAATTTTGTTTTTGTTCTAGTTGGAGGGCAAGAAGAAGAAAGCGGAAGATGCAGTTAAGAAAGCCGATATCGAATATTACACTCTTTGTGTCAGAGCTGAAAGAGCGAGGTAGGAGTAGTTCATAATGCAAACCTAATGCGATTAAGATTTAATCTGAGCGAAAAACCAACAAAATGTTCACAAAAATTATTTGATTCAGACTGGAGTGGGAATCATCAGTGTTAAAAGGAGTAAACATGTTTCAATCGCTGGAAGAGGACAGATTGAATAATCTGAAAGCCGTCTTAACGTCGTATCTTAGACACAATAATGATCTTCATCCCCGATTAATCGAGGTAAATGAGAACATTCCCGAGCTTAATCAGTCAAATCGAAGAAAACATCGCCAACATACATAAGCGTTGCTTTTTTTAGGCTACAGATCGGCTAAAAGCACCAATAGAGGCTGCAGATCCCGCTAAAGACCTCGCTACTTTCCAGACTTTGAGGCAAACATCTCAACAAGTATCTGAACAACTTTTGCCCGACTTTTATTGCGAACATATCACTTTAGCTATGAACCGCGAAAGGAGGAAACAGGTAATAACTAAATAATGAATTATAAATGTTTAAGTTTGCTTGAAACATTTCCCTTAAAACCGACCCGCAAGTAAACAAACTATTAAGTGAAGAAAAAATTTGGAAAGTGTACCAATACAGACTGAAGTGGGACTATATTGACTAAAAAGTATCTTCTTTTATGCAGAAAAAATCTAAATAGCAAACAACACAAATCACCAAACAATGTGCTACGTACGTAACGGATAAAAATTGATAAAAATATATACCTACTGGAAAAATTACAGAATAAAAATAGAAGCAAATTCAGAGCAGCATAGGAATAAATTGACGACAATTTGAAGGAAAGATTGCAACAGAAATTGGCATACTTTTGTGCAGAAATCTAAACAGACAGGAACAAGAATGATCAAATCAAAAGATAGGCTTTCGCGGCCATTCGTTGAAACTAATGGGTTTTTCGGGTTTTTAGGCCGTCGTTCGCAGAACTGAACGCGGGTTCTGATGAGAACAGTGTAAGCGTTCAAGCAAACCACTTCTGATGATGCAAGCCACTCGTGCTTGCGAAACGTCAGGAAGAAATTCCACCGAACGACGGCCTAAAAACCCGAAAAACTTATTAATAAATATATAAAATAAAGCAAATCTAGAACGGCAAATGAATAAATTGAACAACACAGAATATTTGAATAAAAAAATGCGCAGCAAAAGGCTAAAATTTGTTAAATCTTCGCACGTATCATTTTTGGTTTGCGTGTTTTGCATTTAAAAAAATCCAAATAAGAGCAAATAAATACAAAGAAAACAGTATGAGAAGCAGCAATCAACTAATTGTAGAGAATATTTATAGTTTATAAATTTGAAAATTTCAGGCTCTGGTCAAGTTGTTGCATCTAATCCGGCAGGACATTGAAAGGGAGCGCAAGTCGAAAAACGGACTCGAAAATTTATCAAAGGCCATTAGACAAACGCCCAATTTTGGGTCCGAAGATTCTCAGCAATCAGTGGTGGAAAAACTGTACCATGTAAGTAATTAGTTTACACACCGAAACTGTACATCAAGCAAAATGTAATAATATTTTTCAGATGAAATCCATGTTGACATACTTTGAAGGTGCGAGATACAAAGTGCAAAGCGCTTTGGCAGAGTTGGACAGTCGACCAAGAACAGGCCATCCACTAGCGCCACATATTACAATTACTCGCGATAAATCCGGATTACAGCAAAGTGTCTTGAAAGTATGTGTGAAATGATAAATATCCTGATAGTTTTGAGAGATTTTAATATTGCGAAACTTTCAAAGGTTCCACAGTGGTTGCGTGAAGAATTTTTCGAGACCGATCGCAGTCCAGTCAGCGAAAAATCGCTCAAATCCGACCAGTCTGATAACTCAGATCCTCACATTAACGACGTGGATGATCACGTTTTAGATGAGTGGACGCATCGTGGTGCTGCTGATGGAAACTCCAACCAACCAGACTCAGACTTTGGTGAGTCGGAAGAATTTCATCAAACCGATCAATCGGAAACTATTTTAACTTTTTACTTATGATTCCTTTGTCTGTTCTGCAAAATAACACGCGTTTACTTTATTTGTTGTTCTTCAATATAGCTAATAAATTGTTTTCACTTCTGTTTTAAAATGCGATTGATTAACTTAAAAATTAATTAAAAATGTTCAAGTTATTAATATTGTAAAGACTTAGACTTGATAAAAAAAACTTGAAGTCTTAAATAAAAATCGGAGTGAAGTTCAGGACAAAGCTAGCAACTTTTTCAGTTTCTTCTATTGCTTTCAATAAATTGTTTTTAGACGAGTTTTCGTCCCAATGCAGCAGCACTGATAATCCAACAGAAACCGAAAATGTGCATCCTATAGCGAAATGTAGAGCGATCTATCCGTATACTCCCAATTTGCAAGACGAATTGTTACTGAGTCCTGGAGACATACTGAAGGTGAAAGAGTTCGGTTTTTTTGAAAAATAGCCGGATTTTTATGTTTTTTTTATTGTAGGTGTATCGACAACAAGACGATGGCTGGTGGTTGGGTGAATGTAATGGAAACGTTGGAATTTTCCCGGCCACGTATGTGGAAATAATGTCCGCTTAACATCACCAACGACGAACAGTTAAATGACCAAAAGACTGATAATCACAAACTATAATATAAAAATCTAAAAAGATTGTGTTGTAAGAATGTGTTTAATTAATGTGTAGTAAGCGTTAAGTTTGAAACTATGCCTACGACAGTAGGTGATTTTTTATTGAGGGATTTAATCTGATAATTAGCAAATAATATTAGAGTTAATAGAGAATGATATATTAGTATGTATATTGTATTGATGATGTATAATATAGCAGCAGTTAATTAAAAGCATCGTTTATTTTTTAAATATATTTTAAATATTGCTAATATTTAGGCGTATTTGGAAGTTTTCTAAATTCATGTAACAGAGTGCTTGATATAAGTTTCAATAAATAATTAAAAAGTTATGGCGTGTACTTTTTTACCAACATTTGATTCATAGTTATCAATTATACAGGGTGAATTGGTAGGAAGTTGCGAATTTTGATGCGATTTTGGACGCGTGGAATAAATAGTATTGAATTCTTTATCGATCGTAGTTTCAATAAAATCAACCTTAACAAAAATTTTGTTTAAAATGCCTTTTCCAGTTCAAGATATTCAATTTTACTACAAAGTCACGGTATGAATTGGATGCTTTTAGTCTGAATGTTTGCAAATGACTGTAAGTTTTAGAGTATTTTATGACACTATTTACGCTTTACCACGTTTGTTTACTACTTTTTTGCTTGTACGCTGTCGTACTCGGTATTTGCTCAGGATGTGCAACAAAATAAAAAAAAAATTATATGTTGACACGAAAAATATCGTAATTTAATTACCAATTAACCATTTATTTTTTCTTTTAATTTAGATTTTGACCAGCCATTCGTACAAATGTAAACTTAAAAAGATAAAGTGTGCAGGACTGTAAACTAAAAAGAATTAAATTTAATCTGAATTTTGTATCAGTTGAACTAAATGTGATTTATTATATTATAGAAAAAACTATTGCTGAAAAGATTTTATATCTCAAAAAGGGTCTAAAGTGTGACTGACTGCTTTGGGAGAGTGTTTGGAAAGGTTTCTGCCCACGTTGAATTTATAAGCTTTAAAATGATGAAGTAAAAATTTAATAAGTACTTTACAAAAATAGTACGTTTTTCCTTCTCTTCTAGATTACTTAAATGGTAGGTACGAATATTTGTTCGAATATTTTTTATTATTTTGGTATAAATGTTGATCTTGGACTTGTTTTGCTTAGCACTAGGAACCACAATATTGAAGTATTAAGTGCCATAACGATTCTTCTTGAAATGTAGTTTTCTTTTATTGAATGCCCGTCGCGCTCGCTTGATTTGACGCCTCTTGATTTTTTCCTTTCGAGCATGTTTGAGCAAAAAGTGGCAATGCAGACAAGCCAAAGCCACAGCCAGTAGAACTACGCGCTGGAATAACTCTTGTATGTGCCAACCTTACGTAAGAACAACAAAAAAGTATCATAGAAATTGCTGATTTAAAAGCCTCAAAATTTGTTTTCTGTATGCTGATTTTCCCCAGAAGTAAGCAGCTTATTGCTATAGGCAATAATTCAAATTTTGCGTCCAAATCGTTTCGATATATCGGGCACAAGTCACCCATTATCGCATTTTTTTGCGAAAGCCTATTAATTTGTCACGAACTATCGACGCCATCCCGCAAATGACAGTAATCTTCCACACTTAAAATTGTTGTCAAACAATGAATTTGAATGGGACGACGCTTTTTCCCATGAGGGGTGCATCCGGAGCACCTCTCTTCAAGTGGGGCGATATTTTTCCGCTAACCGCTTCAACAATGCCAGAAACATATTGCTGCATCCGACGGGAGTGTGGCTTAATAATTAGGAGAAATTAATGGGCAGGCAGTTTATGGTCAGGAGCTACCGGGGAACTTGGATTATTTCATACAGAGCCTTCAAAAATATATGTATAATTCAAAAAGAATGCGAACATTTTAATTACGCATATTGGGAATTGATAACAGATGTTTGCAAGCACTTCAAATTTACTTTATTATATTGTTCACGCGTTTTGCATGTGTTATATCTATTATTGTAGTTTTTTCTGTACATCTGCTTGATCCATAAATTTTTGCGCTGATTCTAAGTTCAAAAAGAAGTAGTCTTTTTACGTTGGACACCGTCGATTCCTCGGTCGCCCTCTTTGAGTTTAAAAGCTGAATCTGTCGATTTGCTTTACTCAAAGAAGCGTAAAATTCGGGCGGTTGCCCTTTGTGATAACAACCCCGCAATTGAATAATCGATAAATCGCAGAAATACGCCCACTTCAGAGGGTCGGAAAGTACGAGGGTTGAAGGAAATTTGCGGTTTCCACTGCATCCTATTTGAAGAATGTCTTGCTTTATTTATCTCGAAGTAACCCTATTGAGAATTGAGAAACTTTACGAATCGATCAAGATTTGTTTTTGCCGAATGACTATAAACGAC